ACTCCTTCCCCCTACACTATATATATTTTATAAAAAGATATGTTATCAAGGTATCTAGGGAAATATCAGAATCCCTAATTAAAATCCTGTGTAGGAAATGCAGCTTGTTAGCTGGAATTGCTTTTAGATTGCAGTGTGCTTCAAGGAGAGGTTTTACAGCCCCCTTGTTTCTAGCACCCTGAAAAATTTCTCAGAATTTAGAGACTGTTCTTCTGAGATGGCATTTTTAAATAGCCACATAGTAGCTGATGCATAATGAATGAGCGTATTGTAATGGACCAGAAAGATCTTAAAACTGCATAGCCTGTCTTCCTAGACAGTGTGGATATTGCATGCTTCTGTGGAATTCAGCTTTAGCGTTGTTTGGAAATAATCTCTGAGATATTGTTATTTGACTTGACGATTTATTTTTTTTCCCAACATCTTACCCTTGTTATGTTTCGATTTTGTTGAAAGCTGATTTCTAGAAGTTGTTGAGTGTCTAGTTTAAATTCCTCTGTACTTCCCAACAATAGCAAGCTGTTTATGTGCAAAAGAGAGGCCTATTGCAAGACTTAAGAAGAATAATGTGAATTTCATTCAGTGCTGTTCAAATTCAGAAATTTTATATATGTGGCTCACAAACTAAGAAACTTTACCTTCTTTATGCATGGTTTCTGTCATCCTTGGGCATAGCTGGGGAGAAGGGTTAACTCTGAAGATAATCTGTCAAAGAGGGAATAATTAAGAAACTATCCAGAGGGGCTTAGTTTTTCTGTTACAAAAAGCCAAAATCCAGAATAGTCATGATCATGAACCATGTTACTTTTTTTTTTTTTCTCTTCAGATTTGGTTCTGCATTATTGTCATGATGATTAAATAACTGATTTCCTTGTTAAATCTGCATTAAAATGATCTGTCCTGTGAAGCCATCTTTTGCTTTGCCTTTGGCATTGGTTTTGCTTGCCTATCCAACTGCTTATCTGAAAGATCCCTTCAAGTACCTACTGGAAGTAGGCTAATCCTGTGAAGCGTATGAAATGGGCAATTGATGTTAGGGTTGCTAATGTTTCTGGTAGGCATTGTATTTCGAGTAGTGAAGATCTAATAGTGCGCGTAAATTGGCTCAAAGACTTTTAAAACGTGCTTGTATAGTGCTGTAACTCTGGACGGGGTTCGAGGTATGGCTGTAATATTCATTATTAGCACCATACAAATACTGATCTTGCGGGGTGTTTTCTTAGGCGGGACTTATTTGGGCTCTGGTTTATTGTGTGTAAGACTAGTGTCTGATGTTGAAGCAGTGTCTCAAAGCCACTTTGCCTGGAGCTGTCCTTCTGATCCTCTCTTTCCAAGTCCACAGAAAGTATTGTAATTATGTGCTTCTAAAGGATAAATATTATTGCTAGCATGTTAGTTCATGGTTGAATAAACTTGTCTGATATACAGAATCTAAACATGCCTGGCTTGCTTGGTTCTGCAGTAATTTGGAATACAGTTTAGCAGTGAGGATATAGTAGTATTTTGCAGAGAGACCCAGTTAATGAAAAGACAAACAGAAAATTCTATTTAGGACCATTCTCCTGGCCACAGTGAATAATTAATAACGCTGGAGGTGATGTAAGCAGAGTTGTGCTACATTTGGGAAGAACATTCTGGTTGTGGTATACTCCTTGTTTTTTCCGGTTGTGTTGCAGCTGTTTGCTAGTTTTCCCAATTCTACTAGTGCTTATGTCCTGAAATAACTCCGCACGGCTCAGTGGGACTATCTGTAAGCCTGGGTGTTTACAGGAGGGGATTGACTTCAGTCTATAATGAATGCACTGCTTTAAATTCCGTTTTGTGTAAGAAAATAATTACTTTCATAAGGAATGACAGGTGAGATCAGCATAGACCAACATTAGGTTGGGTATTGAGAGAAACAGTGAAACTTCCCACTGCCTTCTGACTGTGCTTTCAGCTCAAGGTCAAAGATCTAGAAATCTTCGGTCTGTAAAGCAGCAGGCTCAGTTGGTGCTCTGTATGAAGATACCGAGGTGTCCACTTTTTGATTGAGGCAGTGAATAATGGGAAAATATTAAGGTGTTTCGAGTTTGGTTGGTGCTTTATGCTTAGCAGGAACTGAGTGAGCTGGAAGTAAGCGTGCCTTTCTGTTACAAAATCTAAAAACTGGTGTGAGAAGATACTGTTCCTACCTACAGTATTTGCCTGCCTTTAAATCTGTAACTCAAAAGATTAGAAGCTAAATTGTACCTATGAAACATTTGTACCCATCTGCCACTAATGTTGGAAAGCATTTGAAATACTGAAACACTTAACACCCCTTTGACATCTTCTGTTATTTTAGGGTTTTTTGGAATGTTTCCAAGCCCCATCTGTATCTTGCCCCTTGGAAGTTAAAGAGTACAGAAGCACTGCAGATTTCCGTGACTAACATTTAATGTGGGATGATGTGTTGGCATGCATTAAAAATAACATCCTTTTAGTTCTTCAGACTTTTTGAGATTAAAAACATATTTGAGGTATCATGGAGTTTTCTTTTTAAGACTAGATTATTATTTTTAAATAATGATATGGATTGTTCATTACTTGAATGAGAACTTCTGTGACTTACAAAAAAATGCAAACAGGTTTGGGGAACAAAGCTTACTTGAAAAAATATTTTTCTCATAATGTTATTTGAGATGAAGAAAGTTAAGAAAAAAATAATTGAGTGAAACCGTGTTTCCAAATATGCTAAAATACAAATATTTTTTTTGTATTGTGTATTTTTAAAAGGCTAAATTTGGTTATGATTAGACAAGTTTGTTTGCCACGTAGTGGTGTAGTGTGTAGTTTGGCATAGTTTCATATTAAAAAAAAGTCTGTAACACTTTGAACACTTTGTTGATTACTCCCTAGGTGTCTCTGGCTTTACTTTTGGAGCTGGTAAATTTTTTCTGCAGACTTTGTTTTTTCTTGAGACATGCATCAAACTCTGCCCAAAGACAGCGTGTTCTGCTTAAGCTACCATCCAAAGTTATCAGTTGTACTTGTAAAAGTAAATAAATTACTCCCCTCTATACCTTTTAGTCTATTCTGCTGCAACTGTCTAAAATCCAAGTAAAGTGAGCTGGGAGTAAGCGTGCCTTTCTGTTACAAAATCTAAAAACTGGTGTGAGAAGATACTGTTCCTACCTACAGTATTTGCCTGCCTTTAAATCTGTAACTCAAAAGATTAGAAGCTAAATTGTACCTATGAAACATTTGTACCCATCTGCCACTAATGTTGGAAAGCATTTGAAATACTGAAACACTTAACACCCCTTTGACATCTTCTGTTATTTTAGGGTTTTTTGGAACGTTTCCAAGCCCCATCTGTATCTTGCCCCTTGGAAGTTAAAGAGTACAGAAGCACTGCAGATTTCCGTGACTAACATTTAATGTGGGATGATGTGTTGGCATGCATTAAAAATAACATCCTTTTAGTTCTTCAGACTTTTTGAGATTAAAAACATATTTGAGGTATCATGGAGTTTTCTTTTTAAGACTAGATTATTATTTTTAAATAATGATATGGATTGTTCATTACTTGAATGAGAACTTCTGTGACTTACAAAAAAATGCAAACAGGTTTGGGGAACAAAGCTTACTTGAAAAAATATTTTTCTCATAATGTTATTTGAGATGAAGAAAGTTAAGAAAAAAATAATTGAGTGAAACCGTGTTTCCAAATATGCTAAAATACAAATATTTTTTTTGTATTGTGTATTTTTAAAAGGCTAAATTTGGTTATGATTAGACAAGTTTGTTTGCCACGTAGTGGTGTAGTGTGTAGTTTGGCATAGTTTCATATTAAAAAAAAGTCTGTAACACTTTGAACACTTTGTTGATTACTCCCTAGGTGTCTCTGGCTTTACTTTTGGAGCTGGTAAATTTTTTCTGCAGACTTTGTTTTTTCTTGAGACATGCATCAAACTCTGCCCAAAGACAGCGTGTTCTGCTTAAGCTACCATCCAAAGTTATCAGTTGTACTTGTAAAAGTAAATAAATTACTCCCCTCTATACCTTTTAGTCTATTCTGCTGCAACTGTCTAAAATCCAAGTAACTAAATTCCCAACTATTTTATCTGCCTTCCAGCATACCTCCGTGGATGGATACACTGAACCACACGTCCAGCCTATCAAGTCAAGTAGCAGACAAAACATCCCCCGATGTAGAAACTCCATTACGTCTACCAATGAAGAGCATCCTCACATTGGAAATTATCGCTTACTGAAAACAATAGGAAAAGGAAATTTTGCCAAAGTGAAACTGGCAAGGCATGTGCTTACTGGAAGAGAGGTAAGCCTTTAAAAAAAAAAAAAACAAAAAACCTGATATTGTGTTTTATATTCTCTTTGGCTATCTTTATAATATGTATTTCTGCTATTCTTTTACCTTTCTCTTCTGAATAGAAAAAGTGCATCTTTTGTCATCATAAAGGAAGATGAAAAGAGGCTGTTGGAGGATATGAGAAAAGTTACCTGTTTCTCCCTCTAACCACTCACCCCTTTTTTGAAAATGTAATTTCTTGGTGAAGACATCAAAAACGTTGTTGCCCATCAAGGGGTATTTTGGGGCTGTGAGGAGGTCTATTCATCCCCAACCATTTACAAAACCAAAGAGAGAAATCTGTTGATAGATAGATAGATTTCAATATTAAGGATCTATCGATAGCTGGATTTTGTGTTTGGAGGGCCTGGTTTTGCAGTGGACAGCGTAACATTGCTCTGTCGAAACACTGACAGAAGTGTAAAACTGATTCCTTGGTGGTACCATCTGGTGGCAAAGTTCTGAGCTCCTGCTGGTAGATCCTAATAGGTGAGAAATTTTGCTTGATGAAATGCATATATGTCTGCTTTTATGCATGCCTTATAGGCACATCTATACTTTTGCTCACAGAGGTGTGATGTATTTTTGTTCAAACATTTTTCTGACTTCAATAATCCATGCTTGTTTGTTTTTTCCAAAGGTTGCTGTGAAAATAATAGATAAAACCCAGCTAAATCCTACTAGTCTGCAAAAGGTAAGAACATACCGTAACATCTGAAATTCTATAAACAGTTGAACTGTGATGTTTTATTTACTTGTGAAAAGTATTTAATTCCTTTATCTGGCTAAACAAACATCTCTGTGTATGTATGATCTTGGGAGACAGTGGTATCCTACTGGCTCTGCTATAATCATAGAATCGTTTAGGTTGGAAAAGACCTTTACGATCATCAGGTCCAACCGTTAACCCAACCCTGCCATCCCACCACTAAACCATGTCCCTAAGCACCTCGTCTGCCCAAATACCTCCAGGGACCACCTCCCTGGGCAGCCCGTTCCGTTCATGTGCATGTCCCATTTGCCTGAAGGCAGGTATTCTCTGGTTCCTATCTAAGCATTGCTTCTTTACTCTCCCTTCCTCCTCCAGCTTTACCCATTGCTGTCAATAAAATTTATATCTAATTAGGTACACAAGTAGTTTGTCTACATACTAGATCAAGATGTAATGCTGTAAAGGAAAGTATTTTCTTGGGTTTTTCTTTAATGTAGTAACTGGGTTTTGTGGAATTATAAGATTGTCAGTTTTTATGGCTTTCACGTTTGGGTTTTTTACCTTTGTTTTTATATTGTTTCAACTTTAAGAAAATATTTGTTAAACTCAGGGGACCTTTGGCAGTTCCTTTTTGTGTATAGAATTGACAAAACGACTTGAACGTAATAACAACATTCTTGTTCATTTGTGCCTGTAGATAGAAATTCAGAAGTCCTTCATAACCATTGTGATAAGTGTTTTATCAGAACCCTGGGGGTTTTTGTTTGGTTTCGGGTTTTTTACTATTCAACTGTGCATATGTTTGGTTTTGGCTGAAGCACAGAAATGTTATATTGTCCTACTGGAGCTTGCCCATTATAAAAACTTGGGATATTTTTTGTTTACAAATACTAGACTGCTGCTGTCTGTAGCTGTAGAATGAGAGAAAGAGGCTAGGGCTTATTGCTGTTCTTTTATCTCTGGCTGCCGTCACATTTATTTTATTGTGTAACTTTGGTCATGGGGAGATATAAACAACTTTGCTCTAATTTATTTTTTTTCTTTGATTTCTTTTACTTCTTTGATTTTATTTGCTTCAATTTATCTTCTGTAGCATTTTTGTTTGAGTATGGGTTCTTCAGGATTTTTTTTTTTTTTTTAATTCAACCTACTGTGTAGTCCTTGCAAAAGCTTCACTATCCTTAAGTCCTATATTAAGCAAATCTCTTTGCTAATATTTGAGCTAGTGAAGAGGGACCCACAGAGGCAATATGGGACAGAGCATATTGGGGAAATACTGTGCTGCTCACGTACCTTGTTTCCTACCTAGCTTGGTATTTACACTTGGAGAACTAGGTGAGTTTGTCTCACTGTTGAGCAATGAGAGGGTAAAAAACATTAAAACATTCTGGAAAACTAAGCATGAGAAACTTACTTCTGGGATAATTGCTGTAATAATAAGTAAGTTGTGGTTCACATAAAAATATTCAATAATTGGTTAAAAAAATAATTCAGAGTATAAAGGAAATTTTTATAGCCTACACAAGATGCTGTCACACTGCACAAGTATTACACAAAATATTCATATAACAGGACATTGCTGCTGTTACTTGTTTTTTTGAGTGGGAAGCTGATAACAAGAAAAACAATTTTAGATAAAGTTAGAAGCATTTTATAACAGAAATAAAGACTGAAGTTAGATTTGGTGATTTAACCATAATTCCATTCTTCAATAACTTCTAGAAATATTTAGTGTGATAATTTGTTGGTATAAACCTTCTAACATCTTGATTGTAACTTTGATTAAAAAAATCTTTCAAGTTCTAAAAGCCTTCAGCTTCCTACAATTTTCTGAGAATTTTGAGTGAAACTGAGTATTGATTCCCTGAAAGCTTTTAAGTAAGCTTAAGCACAGTTTTTGCACAGTCACTCCAGTGACTGTGGTTTTTTAGAGCAAATGGAGTGGGAGAGTAGTCCATCAGCATGCTTAGAATTATTTCTGTTAGTATTTTGATTTGTCATTTGTGTATTGTAAATAAAATTGTCTAAAAAAAATGTTCTAGGAAATCTCCATGTTTCATAGTCATCTTTATTTTTCTTTCTGCACTGAAGTCTTTATATAAAGTTTGTGATTCTTTATGTACTATATAGTGTGGCTGTAATGTGAATTTTTATAATTTTATCATCAGGGTTGTACTGTATGGTTGTACCATAGGACTGTTAAGGAGTCAATTTTTCCTCAAGAGGTGATGTTGGGAAGGGGAAGTGGTGATAGTGATACTGTTTTAATAGGAACAATTTTCTAATTTTCTAAAGAGTGTTTGTAGAGTAATACTGTAGTGAGTCTCAGCAACAAAAATACCACTCCTGAGTTTGAACCCATCTAAATCAGCATAGTCGAGAGGACAGTCTCTAGAACTTCAAAGCTGGCAGACTGTATGCAGATCAGCAAAACTTTCAGGTCTTCGATCATTTTTGACGCACATTATTAATCAAATAAGACAAATACGTAGTGATCTTTGGTCTTGTGAATGACCTTGTGCCTTTCCTTTTTCGCTCAGTATAATATAAAGGATAGCAAGTGCAAGTAGGTTTTAATTTGTATTTGCTACTGACCTAATTTAAGTAAAATGAATTGAGGCATCCTAGCTCCTCATGCACTGTTCTGTTTTGTGAACAGAAATATTTAAGCACGTACTTCAGTTGCTGGAAGTGTCGTACAAGCTGGCTCTGTAGTTAGTCATGGGTATGAAAACAGAGAAAATCTTTAGTTTCTTCTTTGCCACTCCCCAACTTTATTTATGCCAAGTAGTATGGAGAGGGTACGCTGCAGACACAGTTATTTTAACTTAAACTGGGAGAGATGACGGAAGTAAGCTGACCTTATGAATTTTTGATTTTTGCATTCTCGTGCATTCAGTGTGATAGTCTTAAGTTTTTTAATATACTATTTGCTTCAGGACCTCTACCTCTTTAAATAGATAAGCAATGGTGAATTTAGGGCACTGCCTTTTGTTTTGTTTTCAGTTTGCTCAGTATGTGGTTCCCATCTTACTCGGTGAGCACCTGTTTAGAAGACGGGGCTGGCTTTTTTTAGTGAACCTGCTGTCTTGGTAGTAACATACTGTACTGACTTAGCTTTTTCCACTGTCATGATTGTAATTTGTTCTCAAATGTAAGTATTTGGGTTTCATCATCACTAGAATTTATATCAAAATAGCTGTTCTATTTTCTGTATGCCTGCTACATTGAAAGTGTCATACTGGCTTCGCTAGGGATGTTTCTGAAATAGCATTACGTTGCTCTTCTGTAAACTGCTAGTGGAGCAGAAGGTGCTTTTTTAA